CTAAACCCTAAAAACTAAATCCTCCCCAAGAGTTCAGCTGAGTTGCACAGTCATCAGGGCTCGCTGGGTGAGGTCGCAGACCTTCGGATGTTTCAACAGTCCAGGGGGCGTCAACGTTTTCCTGCGGCATCGGGTTTCTAGGGTTGCGTGCGGGTTTAGGGGTCTAGAGTTTATAGGGTCAAAGGGTTTAGGGTTTAGGGGTTTAATGCTGAGGGTTTACGGGTACATGGTGGCGTTCAAGGTATATGTATTACATATACAGTCTGAGATGCTAGACATCTTGAATGACTCTAAGGGCCAGTTTAGGTTCAGGGTTTACGGTTTAGGGTTCAGGGTTGCGGTCATGCAACATTGCTAGTATTAAGGGTAGTGATGCTGGTCTTGCCAGAAGGTTGGGGACTTCAGCAATGCACGGGCTTCAGTAATCACAAAGATCATCTTGACGTCTACTTGATGTACCCTATGCTGTACCAGATTTCTACCAGGAATCTAGGACCAAAATGTTGGTATCTATTCAGGCTCCAACATTATATCGATTGAGGCTTGCAGTTCCCGACAGAAGGACACCCCGAAGCAAGGAGCTGCTGTTGAGGGCAGCAACTGATCTGCTTTAGGTGTGACATTTCCTTCATTGATGGCTGAACTGCTGATTCCTTCTCTCTAGCTTTCCTCTTGATGTCTTCCAAGGCAGCACCCGTTGGCAAGCACACTGATAGGAGAACCTTTTTCCTGAACAGGGCTCCAGATACCTACAGGACATACATGTCCAGGAAGTTCAAAGCCTCAAACCCAAAAAGCAAACCCAAAATCTGTGAACCCAGTCCACTCGCCTGGAACCCCAATAATCCGTCATATGAGCTGAAATCAATACTGCCCAGATAATTAATGGATGTGGGTTCCTTATTGGGATCTATATTAACTAAGGACTGTACTAAGCTACAAGAGGGACCCTAGTGTCCACTGTCTGGGACCTCTTGAAAAACGTATAATGACAGTAGCTCATATGACCTAAACCTAAACCCTAACCCTGACCCGAAACCCGTATATATGACTTCTGAAGCATACCCTTGAGGTTGGGGACATCAAAGCCCCCTGCTACCTGAGGCCTCCCCACAAACAAACAACTTGCTACTTATGGGACTTAGTAACTATTTATAACCTGGCCCCTGTAGGGGATGAAAAGAGACATAAGGTTTAGGGCTTAGTCATGGGCGTAGTAACCACTCAGAACTTTGTTTCTAACCCTATATGTTTGGGGTAACGCCTGTGAGGCCACTGAGGGGGATTATAAGTAGGGTCACAGGCCCAATAATAAACAGTTACTAAGTCCCATGAACCCTAAACCCTACACAATACAATTCCTTTACAAGGGGCCCAGTGCTGAGTAGTTACTAAATCCCATAAATTCCCACCCGCCTGCTTAGGCCGTTCCCACCCAGTACTAGGGTGGTCAGACACTGAATAAAAACGTCAACTTTTGCACCCGTACTGAGACAATGGGAGGAGTTTATGGAGAGTGGTACATCGGGAGGCACAGCTCTCTCTCCAGCCAAAGTATCTACAAGCTCTCAGACGACGTGCCTCCTTCCAGGCGGGTGCGGCTTCTTAGGTGGAGGCCCCTTGCAGGTCTTGGAGGTTTCCTGGAGGCCCTCCAACAGGCCCCTGGAGCCCCGGCCATCATGATGTTTACGTGAAAACAGAAGCAAGAAGACGATCTTGTTGAGGTGGGAATTGAGGGCGTAGCCCTAAACCCTGACAGGAAGTAATTTGGGTGGTAGCCTGTGATGTCTCACGGGATTTCGAAGAAGACCCAGTTTTAATGGCTTCTTGGGCAACATCCCTGGGCGCAGGATGTGCCGCCACTTGCAATCCCTGGAAGTGGGGTGGCCCCATCGGCGCATGGATACTCAGCCCTGCACAGGTAGNNNAAACCCCAAACCCTGAACCTCCAAGTAGAATCAAGCGCGAGACCATCCTCCAGAATTGCAGATCTCGATCGAAGCCCTAGTCTAGACCCCTAATATCCCCCAAAATATCTCCTTTAGTAACCATACAATATGGTAGTTTCCCAAAA